TGCAAAGCACCGGGGTGGCCCCGTGGGGACTGCAGCTGTGCACGGGCTGGCAGGAAAATCCCATCAGGTGGTGGGAAGATCTGCGGGTCAGCTCGAGACTGGCTGCAACCTAAAAATCTGCTTTCAGTTTTCCTCTTTTGCATCACCCTGAAATTGTGTCCTGCCTTGGACAGGGAGAAAACACTCAGAGAGAGTCTGAGCTGCTGAATCCACCAGGTTTGTGCCGCATCGAGGAAGACAAGCACATATGATCCTTTACAACCAGAGAAAACACCTTTATCTTGCCTTGTTTTATGTTCAGACACCTCCTGGCACACAAGTGAGCCAGCGGATGTGGGTAAACCAGCCAGGGCGTAGTGCAAGCATTGTTGGCCTGTGCTGAGGACTCTGTATCCTGGGGATGTATTTTCACCTGTGTAAAATGGGATATATTTTCATAGGTTGCCCAGGTAAATGAATAGGAAGAAAACTTTTTGGAAAAACTTCTTTTTGGAAAAGAAGTTTGAAATTGTTTATTGAAATTGTTTACTTGCTTAAATCAGTGATTTTGATGTAGAAGGGGGTCTGACTCATATACTGAAATGATTGATTTAAATAATTTCATTCAACTTGTTATCAGAAAGTAAGTATTGACCACGATGAGCACTTCAAATTTAAACTTTAATGACAGTATCTCCACTTCTGTCCAGTTTTGACCCACGAATTCCTGATTCTTTTGCTTTGGCTCTCACTGCTGTTCCCTGTTTATCGAGGAGCATTTTGCTTTGGTTTCAGGCCTTGCACTGACTTTCATCAGGAGTTTTGGATTCAGATGAATCAATTTCTCAAAGGAAATCTTGCCAGAAAGCATAAGAAGTTGTGCCTTTGCTGAGGTTAATTTAACCACTGTGCTTTAACTGTGTTTTTCTAATTATCTAGCACCTTTGTTAGAAGCTCGCACTGAATCCTCATGTTGATGGGATTGCTCATCTCTGACATGCAATTAAAATATTCTGCAATGACTGCAGAATGCCCAGCATCATCTGAGACCCTCACCTGGAGAGCTATATCATATAATCAATCATTTAGAGGTCCAAGTTCTGGCATCTGTATTTTTATCTGTGCCTCAGTGGAGGAGTGTATAGGACAGTATATATTTTATAATATACCTTAGTCAGTGAGCATGCATATTGTTGCCTTATACTGTTGCTACTTTTTTTGCATGCCAGCCAAAATCTTGGTGGCTTCTGGGATGATCAGTGATTGCATTATGTGCTGTTACAAAGATAAAATGAAACCCCAGCTATAACATTTTATTATGAAAATGTGTAAAAGAGGCAATAGAGTTTAATTGCAGTATAACTCCAGTTTAGCTGCTTTGATTGCAGTGAGATATTTTATATTATTGAGTAGTCTTAGGAAACTCCTGTTACAGATATATGTACACACATCTGTTTTCATAATGTTATTTATCATATTCCTTTATGGTTGTAGTTCTTGCAGTCAGAGAATAAGGTATTCTCCTGAAATCATACTTCACAGAAAATTTTTCCTCCAGCATCCAACACACGCTCTTTTCAGAGGGACGGACAAGAAAATCTCTGCGTCACCTCTCTGTATCTGTTATGACTCAGTTATTCACAGCGGAATTGATTGTGCGGTATACATCCCATATACATATTTTTCATCTCGGGGCACTCATAAATGTACCTCTTTGAAGTTGTTACTATCATCAAATCTTACAGAATTCATGCTGTTGCTTCAGTAACCCTCTAACACATTTACAGAGGATTTTAAGCATAACAGGAGATGATGCTCACACCTGATTATTAAGGTGTTATTATTACATTTAAAGCTCTACTGTGATTAGCCGTTATTAAAACATCTGTTTATCATTAGGCAGGATAAACGTGAATATAAAGTAAGAGTAGTGATTATAATTAGCAGTGCAGAAGTGTGTTGTCTGCCCTTAACTTTTCTTGAGCTGCATGGTCCTTGTTAGCACAGTTCGCTAGTATACAGATATATGTATAATTGGGGGATGTATATATTTTAAAAATAATTAAATATATATTATATATTATATAACTAAACTTTATATATACTCTATATAAAATTATAAATAATTATATATATACAAGTATGTGTGTGTGTATATATGTAATTTTGTGTATATACATTCATATATAAAAATATAGTTGTATGTGTATATAACTTGGGTTACTAGGGTGTACCTTCAGGGGAATGTGACTTGTCCTAGGCTTGTTAAGTAAGACTGTGGTCCTGTGCTCCCATGATGATTGCCAGCTGCTGAGATTTGTTTTAACATAACAATTTCTAGCAGCAATAAATAGATCTTCATTTTGCTTGAGAGGTACTAAATTACATTTGCCGTTTACCTGAGTGCATTAAGAGACCGAGTGAGAGCCTACGTAGCACGGGCCATGCAGCAACGATTCTTTCTGGTCTTTGGGGAATCAAATACGATGTAGTGCTTCGTAAAGCATCTGTGGATCAGAGGAGAATGAGTAAGTGTTTGCCACTTATCTGACTCTGTGGTGCCCTTGTGGACCTCGGAGACAGGTGATATCTTTGCAGCTATATCTGAACCCCTTGCAGGAAGGAAAATCCACTGAGTACCTTCATCGTTTACTACATACATGAAAAATAGGAGTTAGCTGATTGTCATCAGTCACTGATTTAAGACATATAACGTATAGCCTGTAAATGCATCTGACGGGCCAAGGATGGTGACTGTGCCATTCAGAGGCTGTGCTCTTACATGCTGTGGTGGACTCCAGTGGGAATTTGGTCTCAGGTGCCGATCAAATGTGTCCGTTAAGGAACAGCTGGCCAGGATTGAGACCCAGATGAAACCTTTTATTTTTCAGATTTTGTTTGCATAAGATTGTTTGCATAAGATAATGAATCCATTAAAATACACTGGGAAGCAGAAGTAGAGAAAGTTATTTTATAAGGAAGGATGCCTTATCTTTCAGAATTACATGAGACAATAGAAAAAGAGGTGAATTTAAGTATTTGCTGTCTTCTGACCTTACTCAATTAGTGGTGTTAGCTTAACAGTCATGCCTTTGCTATGAGGACTGTATGAAACAAATACAGGTGAAAACTTGGATTTTACTCTAAAGGATGGCTGTACTTGGAAAAAATATTTCTGATGAACAAATAAGATGTGCTTGTGGTACACGTTCATGATAGGGCACTGGGATGCTGTTGGATATTTTAGTCCAAACAAAAAAAATTTATAAACTCATATTTCATCCATTCTTTTCACATTCACTACATCTTTTTTTAAAATATTCAATTATCGGTGGTTTTGCCAGTCATGACCAAGCAAGTCACCTTTTTGCCTTGTGTGATAATCATACACTACACTGAATAAAAACCATCCTGAAATTGCCAGGCTGGCTGTAATCCCCTACATTTTTTCATTTCTGATAGAAAGCACCTACTTCACAAGATCATATTTTCCTGCTCTCACTGAATTTACAGGGATTTTACTGAGTTTTTAGTGACTTGATATCAACCCTCCTCATCATCAGCCAGTACAGCAGGAGACCATCCTTTTCAGTGAATGCCTCCAACATACTCTGTTGAATAATATTCATTTCTTCCTCTAGGGTAGAACTCATCTAAAAATCAATTAAAACCCCTATTTTGAAGAAGACAGTAAAAAACCAGAAAAACAGAGATCCCATTCATATCAGTTGTCTCTTCCACTCTGAAGAAAGTGAAGGACTAGTGAAAGACTATTTTTAATAGAAATCTCGCGTACTAAAGCTGTAGGTCATTCTTTCCCATCAGTTTGATTATAAAACTAAAAATGCTTCTCAAAAAGGAGTTTCTGTCTTGAAAATGAGAAGAGGCTTTAAATGATGCGATGCATTCACTTAGTTTTGCAATGCAATTTGAGAAGAAAAATTGAATTTGCACATTGAACATTTTATATCCTGCAAATGCAGTTAGGGATAAAAACTCATTAACCAGGGTGTTCGTGAACTAAAGGGCCAGCAAATAAAAGCAAGGTAATTTCTTGGATTTTTATTCGTGAGAATATTTGTAAATATTTTGTTGAAAGTAATTTTGCTCATTTGTGTTTCCTGTAGTGAAATGGGATATGGGGATGAAATTTATTGCAATTATTCTCTGAAAAAAAAACCAATACAAACATTCAGGTATTTAGAGTAGTTTTGTTTCATTAAACTGTTTCCCTAAGGAGAAACTCTATTATGAACTGTATGTATGCAAGCAATGCAAATGTCTAAGCCACATCTGAGATGAAAATCTGGACCATTTGGGGTTCTGTGCATCCAATTCACATGATCCTGTTTCCTTTGAGCATCTGTACTTTATGCAATGGTAATCTGTTATGCTTGTTTTTACAACGGGAATTTGCTTCAGAAGTATATGATGTAGTGTATGGTATGTAACATTGAAGTCTTGGAATTTATCAGAAACCTGAAAACTAAAGTTGGAAAAAAATGACTCAAAACCTCCGGAATCAGGAAGTGTTCAGTTATTAGGATATAAAAGGACTCGGTTCTGGAAAACCTCTCGAGGTCAAGGAGAAATTTGTCATTTACTTTGGGAGCAGGATGAAACCTTACTGAATTTTGCTGTCTCGGAAACAGGATAATGCACTAAAAATTTCCCCACATCACTCGGTGTCATAAGCAATGATGTGTCCCAGGTTACAATGAACTGACCCCTTATGTCTTGTTTGCTTTCAGCCTGCATTGATTTCTTCTCATCTCACAGTTGCTTTTAGGCAATCTTTCCAAAAGCCCACGTACTACAGCTAAAATTTCAGATATTTGGGATCATTTCAATGCATGCTTAGTCCATTGTCCAGCGGCTGAGTTTTATGTTACTGTTTTGAAGTGTGTACCCATTCTCATGCTTCCTCATGAATGAATTTGTTTTCCTCTGCAGTTCACAGCAGGTTTTTCAAATTTTGACATTTTGCTAATTACATTTTCCCCTTGTCTTGTTTTTTCCAGCTCTCGTAAATGTGAAACTTTGGGCTATTGATCGGCAATGTTTTCAAACAATAATGATGAGGACAGGCCTCATCAAGCATACTGAGTATATGGAATTTTTAAAAAGGTATGACACTTGTTTACTTTATCAAAAAATACAGTGAATCTGCCATCCTCATATTTTGTCTTTTTTTGTGAGTGCAATATTTGATTTGTTTCCTTCTCATCTCTTTTTTTTTTTTTATTTGCTGTTTAACCATCTGTAAGCCATATCCTCCAGCTCCAGGAGGAGTCTTGCCACAGTTTAGTTTTGTTCCCGTTGGGAGTTACTCATTGGCAAAGAGTCACGCAGCCGAGGTGTAAGAGAAAAAGCTTTAATACGAGTCATTTGAAGCGCACCTTATTAAAGAAAATACCATGAGAAAAAAAACCACCCTCACCCGGGAAAAATCTGGTTCATAAACTGTTGTAGAAGCAAGTCCATTCAAAGTGTGTTCTTGTGCTTCTAGAGGTAAATTGCAAGTCTGTAGAGAAACAAAAGCTGTAGGTTGTGGTAAAATATGGGTTAGAGAAGTAACAAGAAAGACATAAAGCCAAGTCTTTCACTCCTTAAATTTGCCTCTCTCAGACTTTCCTTTGGTTTGTGCTACCATTTCAAACTAGAACCAATCCTCCTTACTGAAGCAATGCCTAATATCCCAATAATTCAAGTGTGACACAGCAGTGAAGAACGGGCTATGTTTCATGTCAGCAAAATAATCCCAAATAAAAGCATAATGTCACTGAATCCTAGAGAAAAAAATCACCCAAATCAATGTGACACTGCAAGTAATCCCATCATTATGAAGGCTTCACTACACCAGGCTTGTCCCAGATCAAAACATTCCACACTGCATCATTTCCCCCCTGAACCGACAACCCCTCGCTGTGCAGAAGCAGTGCGAGTGGTAAAATTATACCCGAGATGATTTCTCTTGATGGTGGATGGGGATGTGCACAAAATCCTTCAGATTTGGGCTCCTTTTCCCCACCTCTCTCCAGGGGGAAGCGGTACTTGATTTCTTTCTTTTTTATTTTGGATTCAGCTAGTTTTCAATATATAAAAATGTTTTAGAAATATTGCTTCATTTCCAGAAGTTGCATCTTTTTTCCAAAGAGGGGTTTTCAGAGAAATGTGCTGTTGTAGGGTCTAGAAGATCTTACAGTTTGCAAACTAGTGACCTGAGTAATGATACAACCCCTTAAAAAGGATGTTTTGGATGAGAAATTAAACAGGTCTCCCTAAAGTTGGCATACTAAATTTTACCATGCCATGTCACGTGCTTGGTTTAGTTTTGTTTCTGACATGCTTTTTTATGTGTTTTCAAACTTAAGGCTGTTAAAATTAGAAAAACAGGTACAGTACATTCACTTGGGTATTCAGTAATATAAACTCAAGGGGTAGCCTGTGGTCGTTCAACTTGAAATTAGTTTTTCTCCAGTTAGCATTGGAGGAAAAAGGGAGTCAGAAAAAACCCAATTATTATTATTTGTTATGTATCATATGTAATAATATGATATATATGTATAGTAATATAGAAATATATGTATATACTAACTAAATCTCTGTGATGATATTGTCAGGGAGTCACAAAATTGAGCTGTCCCACAGGGTGACCCCAGTCCTGTGATTTGCAGGCAAGGCTTTAGGAATGGGGCAGGGCAAGTGGAGCCAAGGTGATCCCGTGGGAGCAATACCCTGGGCACGAGCGTGGCTGTACTGCAGCTGAGCCAGGACCATGGGTGAGGAATTACTCGAAGATCAGGCACCATTAGCTGCTTAGATATGGGAGCAAATAACTGCCCAACTCACTACACTGGTTCTTGGCTGGGTTGACATCCCACCTCCTGGTCTTTCCTTGTGGCCAGCAGTTTCACCTATGGTTATTTTCAGTGGTGAATAGAAATAATAATAAAATAATGAAACGAAAATAATTGGCCAGGCAGCATGGCCTCTGATGAAGACAAGGTGTTCCCTAGAGAGGACCAGGAGCTCCATGGAGATGTTCTGCTGCTCAGAGATGGCTTGAAATTGTAGTCATGAAAGTCCCGCTTTTTCCAGGTGTCTCAGTTTATGGTTATTAACAACCAACCTTGGGAGAGACAACAAAACCTGTTGCCATACTGAAAGGGTGTAAAAAATTGTAAATTTAAACATTAACAAGCACTGGCCTTCCTTGTGTGCTGGTGAATGAAACCAAAAAATGAATATAAGATCAGTTCTGGGGGTTAGAGCCTCTGGCTCTCTTTCAACGCAGAAACTATGCACACATTAAGCTCTTAAGCTTTGAGCTTTAATAGAGATTTTCTAGAAGATTGTCGAGATTAATTTGGATGCAGGTTCCACAGAGCCTGCCCAGCTTTAATTTTGAAGCAAATAGTGTGAGGAAGAAACTGAGAAGCGTTTTCCCACACTATGTCTGAGCTTCTTTGACACAGTGTATCGAGCTGCATATTAAAGCTCGTTAGAAAGGCCTAAAGCAAGCATTGTTTTCTTTAAATCTTACAGTTTGAATTTAGGAAAAGATTTCTTCCTACGCAACAATTGTAGCATGGGGCACATAGCTGTAGGAAGGTCATTACAAAATGGTATCTACCTATTGTGTCTTACAGTTGCGCTCTATCCATCAATAGCTATCTTAAGCTCATATTAAATTTCATCTTAAGCTCGTATTAATTTCCATTTATTACATTAAATGCTCATTTTAAAGGATGCTTTCCTTCTAAATCTTTTTAAGGAAAAAATAGGTTAAATCTTGAAAATAAGGAGTATGTCAATTGTTGACCTTATTGTTTGTTCTTTTTTTTTCTTTCTTATTGATAAGTGAATGAAAATGCTCGTGTTAAGAAATCAAATGAAATAGAAACAAAGGTTTAAGTGGTACCTGTTCACAGAAAAGTCAGTGGGGTTGGACAGCATTCTTTTCTGCTGACACTGGTCTAAAAATGTTACCCTTTCTAATCTTGTCATTAGTCACAATAACATCATGGTCATTGTCTTCAATAACATATTTTCACCTATGAACAAAATACAATAGAAATTAAGCTTTTGGGGATGAAATAAGACTATTCATATATTCTCATTTATCTTGCTGAAAATAAGTGCAGTCTGAGCACTGATATCACCAGGGCTCCTTGTAGTCATCGTACGAAGTATTACTGCACAACCAGCGTGGTTGTTTTGCCGTGTTTTTCCACAGAAGGAACATATTGATGACACAGGTCAGCTACTGTTTCCTTAGTTTCACCCTTTTATGTCCAGAGTATGTATAGTCCAGTCCTTTCTTCTGAATGCCCTGAGAAAACCTTAAAAAGTACATTTCCTGGTTAAGAAATCCAGCTCTACCGTCCTAATGGGTCCTGAGCCAGAAGGCTGTCTCCTGGTTTGGTCCAAGGGGTAATAGTACATATTCATGGGCTTATAAAACTTGAGATAACTCTTCTGACTTATATAAATCAGCGGCAATATACTGGAGTAAGTAGCAAGTGAACATCCTCTTTTTCATAGTATTTATGAGGAACAGGTCTGTGTATCCCTTTCTGCTTCTTGTAAAGTCAATAGATGATCCTTGAAGTGATCAAAAGATGGCCTAATTCCTGAGCAGCATCAAGTAAGGGATGGAAAATCCAGACTATTTTTTGATCCCTGTGTATGTGCTGAATGACAAATTATAGCAATGATTCCCTTTGAAACACAGATTTTTGATAGCTCATTATGTGGCTAAATCAATGCTAGATCGAGCTAGTTTGTCGTGCAGCTAACAGTAAAAAGTTAAAATATAATATTATGCTGTAGATTTCGTAAATCCTTATGGTATAGGTTTTTGTTGCTGAACATTTCTTTAGTTTTTACCCAACTTAGTGCTTTCTGTACATCATTGAATATATTTTCCCTTACACAAGCAAGAAAGAGCATCATTCTGCAGTGGAGGTTACAGCTATGCTAAAATCAACTGTACATTTCACTGCAGCGTTCATTGTTATAATGTTAGAATGATTTCCTTCTCAAACCTGTACTAAAAATAATTCTATTTAAGCCAGATCAGAATTTTTCAGTTAAGGAAACAGCTATTTATAAAACAAATTTGTCTGGGAAATAGAAGATGGGGAAAAGCCTTATACTGTGGCAAGTGTATTAATGTCCTGCTAAATCATGGAAGTTTTAAGGAGGGGTACAAATATCCACTCTTCAAAAAGACCATAATGCCTTGGAAGAGTAAATGATGTATTTTTATTACAAAAAAACTTCCTAAATGTTCCATAAAAAGAGACCTCACGTTCCGGTCCACTGTGTAAACTCTGATTCATCCAAGACCCTGCAACAGATCAGGAGAAAAAATGATGAATACTCTGTGTCGCCTTGGAGGCAGGATCTAGCTTTAGAAGTGGAAACTTAAAGGAAGTTCACACATACACGTACAATCTTGAATCTTATAAATAAAAATTTAGTAGTGCTAATAGAAAGAAAATTGAAGTATCTTGTTAGCCCAAGCTCTTAACTTAATGTCACTTTCATCTGGCTGAAGAAGTGCCCACTCTTCAGCCTTTAACATTTTGTCATAGTGCTCTGGCTTGATCTTGAGTCTTGTTGACAGTTTTATCCGACTCCAGGTTGGCTGAAGTGGGGAGTTTTGATCTAAGCAGACATGGCAGAACTGAGCTGGTTGTATCTAAGAAATGGGAGTTTATGCACCTGTGGCTTGTCTGTGTGGGGAATTAGGCTGGTAAAGTTTTTTGTGTGTAGTCATGTATTTAATTGTGGCGACACATACTGAAATTGGTTAATGTGAGTAGCGTGAGGATTTTAGAGTGAAGGTTTTGCATTTCATGTGAGTCATTTGTCAGTGAGAGGAAAGCAAATACAAAAATGTGTGAAGCCTTGTTAAATGACTGTCTTTGAAAGATTGCCTGCAGTTTCGCATGAAATGTTTCCTGAAGTGCATCTTAGGGTGAAATTATACTGGATAGCAGTGGGAGAGAAATTAAGAGAGTGAGGCAAAGGGAGGAGAGACTTTGGAAAAAGAAAGTTGGAGATTGATGGTGAGTTGGTGAAGTATGTATGTTGTTTCAGCTGACTAAATCTGCAAA